CTCTTGATGCCTCGATTCCCTCATCTCTACAGTGAGGCTGATGCTAGCATGTACTGGGGGTTATTTAGAGCTTCCAGCTCTGCAGGGACTGAGTCCCAGGCGGGCCGGGGCAGTGGTGACAACGTGCACAGGATCCCACCCAACTCGCCTCACAGGCGGGCAGGGAGATCGCCACTCCTGTCCCAGAGACGCCGAGGCTCGCAGCAGCGCGGTGATTTGGGCCCTACGTGGCGAGGGTGCTGGGGTCACCCCCAGGCCATCACTGCACCCAGAATCCTGATCTTGCCCCTCCTGCACCACCCCTCCCCACCTGTCTCCAGTTGGAGGCCTGGGGCGTGTAGAACTCCAAAGCCAGGAGCCCAGCCCGAACCATATTGAGCCAGTTCACATAGATCACGTCCTCCGCGTCGGCGCCCTTGAAGCCAAAGATCCTGGGGGCGGGAAGCAGAGGGCAGGGGCAGTGAGAGGCTGCCTGGCCTGCCCTCCTGGCCAGCAGCCCGCCCGCCCCGCCCCAGGGTGCCCTACTCCAGCACGTGGGGATTGAGGCAGAGGTAGAGGCCCACGCTCTCTGCCCGGCACTCCTCGTAGCTGGAGGCGATGGTGCTGAACTTGCTGTCCCAGGTCTCCCCGCTCCGGTACCAGCTCTGAATCTGGGAGGGCAGGAGCAAGGAGCGGCTTAGGGCGAGCCGCCGCGCGCTGGGCATCCTTCCGGGCCCCGGCGGGCAGCCTCACCTGCTCGCCCGTCTCTGGATTGATCACCGTCTCCTGGTCAAAGTTGAACGCTCCTTTCTCATCCTGCAGGGGAAAGGTCGTGAAGTGGAGCGAGTGAGGGCTGGGCTGGGAGGGGTCTGCTCTGTCCAGACGTCAGCCCTGGACCCAAGGGCCTGTGGGCAGCCCGAAGCCAGCTGGGCGGAGCAGCAGGTCCACAGACAAAGTGCTGCCTCCAAAACTGAGGCCGGGCCATGGGCTGGCTCATCACCCCCGTCACGGAGGAGGAAACTGAGGCTCAGAGTAAGCATCTGGAGTGGAATCCGAGCACGTGACCTTTGGGCAGTTTCTTCATGACACCCATTTGCTGAGGGCCTGCGCCAAGCAATTCCTCCTGCTAGACACTGGGGGAGGGCGAACCTCAGTGGGGGAGGGAGAACCTCAGC